CATCAAAATAAAATTATTTCTAAATTTTAAAACTCCTACCGTCTCTCGTTCGGGTGCATTCGTAGTCGCATCAGTGATATAATGAGATAGATTTTTATATATCCAGAACTATATTGGGGTAAAACGCAGCACAGAGTGAAAAACATGTATGTGTGATGCGTTTCGTTCTTTAGGATTTTATTCGACCAATTTATGTTGGTACGACAAAACATGCGCACAAACGAGGGGTGCTGGGAATTTTTATTTTTTAATTTATTAATTTTCTTTTACCAGATGGCTGTAATAAATGTCACAAAAATACATAGGATTAACTTCAAGAAATCTAAGTAAAAACTATACGAACATAAAAGGGACATTTTACAAAACATTACATCAAATGCGTTCCTTGCCCATCGTAACAATTTTGACATAAAAATTGCCACTCTGATCAAAGGAGAAACTAATTGACTACGACGTAAATGTACAGAGAGTGCTTTGATCACAAGGTGATCGATAGTAGATTTGGGCTCTTAGAACATTTCACCATATATATATATATATATATATATATATATATATATATGAAGAAGAGAATAGGAAAACTGCGTATATTGTCTTTTATTTCTTTATACACATTGTTTTTAACAGATTCATTCTAAGTATTTTTGACATGTTTCAAAACTGAAACTTTAATTCAAATTCAATCATAAAAATTAAACATAAAATACAAAGCACCGTTCCATTATCAAGCGATGCTAACAATAACATTTCAGAAATTGATTTACTTAATTCAAAAGTTCAGGCAAATATGATATTTTCCTTTAAACCAACATTTAAAAATATCAAATTTTGTTTTTTATGTTTAAATTTTACGATTGAATTTGAATTAAAATTCCAGTTTAGAAACCTGGTAATTCAGATGTTGCGATGATTATATATTTAAAAAAAAAAACAATTATAATATTATGCTCTATGTTTGTATCGAGTACTGTTTTTTAAAAAAAAGTTTAATGGTATGAACTCTGAATTATAAATCTCATTGTTCATTCTTATTATTTTAATATATATATGTGTGTATATATATATATATATATATATATATATATATATATATATATATATATATATATATATATATATTATAAATTAATTGATTTACATTGAGCACTATTTTGTAAAAATAAAATATCTATAAGAACACCGGATTTTATATCTTACTGTTCTTTTTTTTTATTATATATATATATATATATATATATATATATATATATATATATATATATATATATATATATATATATATATATATATATATATATGTATACTTATACACACATATCTTTGGAGAAAAACTATAAATAAATATTTCATTGTTCTTTCCTATAAATATATATATATATATATATATATATATATATATATATATATATATATATGTGTGTGTGTGTGTGTGTGTGTGTGTGGTGGAAAAAAACATAAAACAATATTTCCGAAATGACCTGTTCAGTAATCAATAAAGATATTTTTAAATCTGATTGTTTTATTCAAAACGGGAAATTGTTTTCTCTCACCACCTAAATTTTTTACTAATGTCACGTTGTCGTTTTACAAAAGATCAAATGTGACCAAAATGCAAATTGTAAATTGACGAAATTTTATACAATCCTGCAACTTGCAACTTCGTTTAACAGGTCAAATCTACGACAGTTGAAGAAAAGTCACAATAATCGGAAGAAGAAAATAACAATCGTACAGTCTTCTCCATTGTCTATGTAAAGGATTTGTTTTATTATACATAATCTTCAATATGTCCGCTATTTCTCTCGATCCAAATTTGGACTCAAGATTGCATGTTTGTTACTACTTTATTTAATCGAACTAGATTGACCGTCAAGAATTTAAAATATTTTTACTTCACTATAGCATACAATTTTTCTATTGAACAAAACAGAATAAAGATATTTCTATCTTTGTGAAATTTGCTCAATTTTGAAAATGGGTTAATTTGTTTATGGGCCGTACGTTAAATAATTTATTTTTAAATGTTTTGTCAGTTTTTTTACGCTTCCTTGTTGAGTTTATAAACAAAAAATAGAAATTTAAGTATCAAAGATGCAATTTAAATGTGATGGAATGGGTTGCAATGCGAAGGCAAATGATTTCGACTAGCTACTTAAGGTCACACTTCTTTTCTAATCCATTGTCCAATTTGTATTTACTTTTTAATCCACTACTTCATAACCAAGAATATAATAATCGCACATTCTACACCATCCTATATATAAGGGATTAGTTTTATGTTGGCTAAACTTCAATATGTCCGCTATTTTTCTCAATACAAATTTGAATTCAAACTCGACCTTATTTTTAATCGAATTGGATTTTCCTTCAAGAAATTTAAATATTTGTAGATGAAATTCGTGAATAACTTCCACTATTGAACGCAACAGATTAAAAATATTTCTTTTTTTACGAAATTTGTTCAGTTTTCAAAACGGATTTCCTTGTTTATGTGGTATACGTGAAATAAAGTATTTTTTCAAATGTTTATCGCATGTTTATGCTTCATTTTTGAGCTTATAAACAAAAAAAATGTAAGGACCAGATATGCAATTAAAATGTGCTGGAATGGATTGCAAATTGAAGGCGGTGCAGTAAATGATTTCGCCTAAGTACTTAAGGTCAAACTTGTTTTTTTTATTCACAACGCTTTTTGTCCACTCAAATTGGTTCGCAATTTAAGACTACCTTTCATTTCCGTGACGTAGATTTATTTCTGTAATGTATTTATTTCTTTTCTCTGTGCAATGCACAATAAAATTGGACAGTAATCCCCAGGTGCACCAGTACAAAAAATTGCGCTTTTACACACACACACACACACAGTGTGAGTGTGAGTGTGTGTGTGTGTGTGTGCGTGTGTGTGTGTGCGTGTGTTGGTAGATTGTGAAATAGTATTCGAAAGAAACGCGTCTTTGATTAAAGATTTTCCACTTTGTCTTACCATTCTTTATATATATATATATATATATATATATATATATATATATATATATATATGTATATATGTGTGTGTATAAATATATGTGTGTCTGTGCGTGTGCATGTGTGTATGTATAGCATGAAATGAAGAAACGTTATAATGTTTATAATAGTTTTAAAATTGTTAGCGTTCGCAGCTATAATGATAAAACCCGGAACCCAAGCGCTTTTTTCTTTGCGCTAATAGAACAAAAACGTAAATCTGAGGGTTGCAAATCGAACGGGATGCGTAAATTTTTATTTATTTTTTTATTGTGCATTTCCCTAATTTTATGACTTAAGGAGTGAAGACATAAACATTAGTTGTAATTTCTTCGTCTTATAAAGAAGGAACGCTTGTATATCAATGCAATCCAACCAATTTCCTGCACAACCGTGTCTCTCTGAATGTCTGCGACGATGTTTGATCATTAATTCCAATCTTTTTTTTTGATTTGCGTGTACTGGTCTTCAAATTGTTCTTCATGCTAGATTTTGCGTTCTTTCCAAGAAACTGTTACTAAGGTCCTTTCAGCATAGTCGCAATAAAATCCATAGACAGGTTCTGGGGATGTTGAACAAACATATATGTGCCTCGCTACCTATTCTAGCAAATGGGTGTGCTCGGAAATGAGGAGCCGACCATTATATATATATATATATATATATATATATATATATATATATATATATATATGAATATGACCATGGAATTTTAGTGTTTAAGCCTTTTTATTATATCCTTACTTTGTCCTGGACATTGAGTTCTACCTGGATTCTATCCTCTTGGAATTTTATTAAAAAATATACATGTATGGGTATTTATATATTTTGCATATGAAGATATATTTACCACTAATATTATCTCCTCCCTCTCTCTCTTTCTCTCTCTCTCTCTCTCTATATATATATATATATATATATATATATATATATATATATATATATATATATATAATATGTATATTATATATATATATATATATATATATATATATATATATATATATATATATATATATATATATATATATATATATATTGCACAACAAAATGCAAATATTACCTCCGCTGGGGGTATAGCTCACATCAGCCGACGAAAACTACATCTGTTGTATAGACTTTATTCGTGTCAGAAATAGTCTCGACACGAATACAGTCTTTTCAAAGTTTAATATATACATATTCAAAGATGAATGTATATATATTCACGAAATAAATTATAAACGAAATGCTAATTTAATGTTTTCTTCTTGATTATTATTATTATTATTATTATTATTATTATTGTTGTTGTTGTTGTTGTTGTTAACCTCTCCCTTGCTCAATACCCTCCTTGGAATGATCCCTACCAGTTAAAAATTGGTATACATATATATATATATATATATATATATATGTATATATGGAAAAAAAATTAAAAAAAAAACAGTTCCATACCATATTTCTTTCTATTTTATAATTCCATCCTTCCTATTTAAAAAAAAAATCTTTTCCCATAGTTCAGCATTTTTCTCTTCTTCGATCTTCCAAACATTTAGTTCTCAGAATCGAATTGAATCATGGCGTTCGTCCATATGCGTCTCATCTTTCACCGAATTAAACTAAATTTTGTTAACTTCATTTTCTGCTTTCTTTTGGAACACCTTTATTTTTTTTACTCAGTTTTGTTTGTTGCCATCTTGCTTCATGTTTATTCTAATTCTTTATTCCTCTGTTCTCATTCCTTTTTCGTTTTGATATACTTTATTTCCTAACCATTTTCTTCTCTGATGTTCTTTTTATCTATATTCTGCCTGCTTTTCTTTCTTAATAAAAATCTTTGCATTCATTCAAAAAATATAATTATTCCGATTTTTTCTTTTGTTACGTTTTCATTTGCTTTGCTTCATTATTCGCTGACATTTCATCCTTTCTCTTTCTTTAATTACTTTTTCTTTTACTTCTCCCTTCGTAATTTCATTCGTTCTTTCTTGACTCTCTTCGTTCACTCTTCTTAGTCGCAATTTATCTTTTGAATTCTCTCTCTGTAATTTCATTCGTCCTTTCTTCATTCATTTCGTTGACGTTACCTCCTCTTTCCTTGATTTTTCTTCTCCTGTTTTTCATCTTTTCTTTCTTTCTTTCTTTTTCTCTTTCGATTCCATTTTAATTCTCTTTCTCTCTTTGTTTTATTTCAATTAATTTCACTTGACTTTCTTCCTTTTATCTTTTTCCATTCTTTCTTTCTTTCTTTCTATTTTCCAAGTAATACTATCTCGTTCAATTTCATGTTAATGCCTTTAATTTATTTCTTAATTTTTCTTTCTTTCTTTCTTTCTTTCTTTCTTTCTTTCTTTCTTTCTATTCCATTTGAATTATCTTTCACTCTTTCATTCCTCACAATTAATAGTTCAAAGCCATTATTTCTTCACTGTATTTTTTTTGCAAGAACGTTTCTGATTTTCACTCAATTCTCTTTTTTTCTTTAGTAATATATTCTTTTTTCATTCATCACTTTTTCTCATTAATTTACTTCATCTTTCTCTTTTACTTCTACCCGGATGTAACCAAAACGACTTTTTTTTTTGTCCAAATTTTACTTTCTCTCTACTTGGCTTTTTGGCGTTATATTTTAATGTAACTTCCATTTTTTTTTTTTTTTACTTTCCCGCCATAAACATTTCCTTAATCAAGCGTTGAATTTTATCCTTCTGGAATTTTTACACTCCATACTTTTCATTATTTCTGTTCTTTTTTAGTCTTTTGGACAATGCAGGAAATGAATCAGCGCCCCCCTACTGGGCACACAGTAAAAGAGAGAAAAAAAGTTGACTAGATGAAATGACTGACCACTTATTCTGTACAATGCGTTCCAAAGATTTCGTCCTTTCGAATATAGTTTTATTCTTTTACTTCAAAACAATAAAATTGTCGAGACTCAGTTTTTTTTTTGTTTTTTTTCTTCTCGCAAACAAATGCATAACCAAAGGCAAGGATAGTAAAGAACATATTAAAATGAAATAAAAAGACACTGTTCATTGGCCTTAATGGCAAACACACAAAAAAAAACAACAAAAAAACAAAAAAAAAAAACGATAGCCCAACAAAAAATGTTTCTGGACTTAGCCATCTGACGCTTGAGTAAGCACCATTACTTTGTAGAAATGTCCTTATAAATGACTAGATTTAAAGCTGTCCTTGTGCTATTAATGCCGGTGTCTGCAGGAACTTCAGTGATAAAACGGCTCGCTCAGGTTCCTGCCATTTTCAAGCAGCGATGCGTTGCTGTAAATCCCCATCGCTATCCTTACAGGCGCGTTATGCTATCAAAAGTGTCTTTAGGGGATATTTTAGTGCGCATTTATAAAGAATGTATGCCAGTGTATTGTGATGCAATATATATATATATATATATATATATATTGGGGATATGATTTTTTTCATTCGATACTTTATCTTGATCGAGAGGAACTTTACCTTGGGTACTTGTCAAAAGCCTCCATTACATCTTTTATTTTTAAAATAAAGTTTCGGACTTTGTGGTTATGTTTCAAAACTCTCAAATAAGTACGAATATTTAAATAGCAGACGTTTAAACAAATGATGAAAAAGCTAACACCGAAGTCCGAAACCACATTGAAATACACAAATACCTTTCAATAGTTAAACAAAGTATTAAGTAACAGCAAAAATTCATTAGACATAAATAAAAAGCGTGTTAAACTTATATAATATCAATCCTCTAATATGTCAGTGAACGCTGACCATTCTGCTCTACAGAAGGATGGTGAGAATATCATGGAATGTAGATGTGAGCATGTTTTAAGTACAATGGAAACAAAAGAATTATAATTGGAATCACATGACCTATTGAAGGGCGGAGAGATATTGGAATGCAACTTGTCATCTCCGTAACTTGCTTGTGCAAATAGATGGTTGAATAAGGTATTGGTGTTTGACAGTGAGAAGACTCATAGATACGAAGACTAGTAAATTGTGGAAAGGAATAGTGTGGCGTATTTTAGCTTTGGAAATAAAAAGAGCTGGAAGACTAAAAATACAAGGGAATTTGGAAAACCTTTATTTTCCATGTTTTCTTGATAAGCGTCATCTGAAAAATATATTTCTTTTTAAAAAAATATAATCATTTTACCCTAAGTAAAGCAACAAAGTTACTAACACACAGAGTATGAAAAATATTAGACAAAACATTATTAAGGAGCGAGAACAATGATAAAACAAAAATCAAGAAGACATTGTATATAAACTTCTGAAGATCAATCTTGGCTGGAAAGCAAGAAGCCGAAAGAGAGTTCCGCAAGTGTGAAGTGCAAGAGAAGAAACTGTTAGCATAGAACTTACGGTTACACCTAACCAGTTCAACTGTAAATTGCTGAGACCTTGTTACTAATCTAGTACTGGGATTAAATTATTAAATCTAGGCATTATAAAAGAGAGTAATGTTCATTCTGAAAATAGAAAAATCTGGCACAAGGCCAAAAGGAGAGATAGAAGAAGGCTGGTCTTCAATCTGTCTTATCTTAAACTTAGCTATCCACAAATACTGATCCAAATATACTACAGAATTCCTTAACCAAAACAATACATTCTTTCTTGCCATTCTTACTACAGCCACCATAATATCGCAAAAAGCCTACATAACAACGTAACTCGTTCTCATATATAAAATTTGTCGTTGAGAGTGATGAATGAAAATCACCATTTCAAAATATTAAAGTCTAATTGCAGAAGAGATTTTATCTAAACAAACACCCCGAAAGTATTTATAAAAACATTCACAGGATGGTACGTTACAGTAGTGGGAAAGTGACTGATGTGATATATATATATATATATATATATATATATATATATATATATATATATATACTCGACTCTACCATCGAATTCGACGTATGAGGGTCAAGCAGATAAGTTACTAGGAAACCGACAGCCTGACAACAGCACATGAGATTTGATTATAGTGGTGAAGGTTTCGTGCAGCACCATACACACTTTTTGAAGGGCCGAATACAAAGACCTGGTGCACTACATGCCACAAGGTCCCAAAACGACCCTCCGCAGGTTTTGAATTCAGAGTTGTCCTTATCCTAGACCAGTTGCCATCCAAGGCCATAGAACCCAGTCTGTCTGTCTGTCTGTCTGTCTGTCTCCTTCTCTTCTCTCTCTCTCTCTCTATATATATATATATATATATATATATATATATATATATATATATATATTACATAAAAACAGACCACTTTAAAGTTTCATGTAATAAATTATTTCACCACAGCCCTTTTAAAGGACTGCGAATCATCAGACTTTACTTCCAAACAAAATGAAAAAGAAAATTTACACATTTTTGACGGGCCGTATTAAACATATGTAAATTAACGAAGTGAGGAAGTGAGGGGGAGAGAGAATACATTAGTGAGTTAGCAGATATTGATACATTTAAAATGTTAACTTAACGGAAGTTATATATTGATATCAAAGGGGTAGAGATGAAAATCCCATAGAGAGAAAAGAGAGAAGGAAGTTATTAGAGAAGTTGTCACTCCGAAATATATATATATATATATATATATATATATATATATATATATATATATATATATATATATATATTCCTGGGTGGATAAAGCAAAAATGGCTATTGCAGGCCAAGTCAGAATGACATGAACATTAAAAACAAATTTGAAAAAAAGGTTTTTCTTGCATATTTTCCGTTTACTTTCTTAAGAGAAAAAGTACTTTTTTCCCTATCTTTCAAAATCATCTTGAAACATAAATTTCCAAAACAGTACTTTTTCCACGTGTCTGACACAATCAGTAATTTAGCAGGAAAAGGAGATAAGTCATTTTTATTGTTTCAAAATTTCTCCCGACTTCACAGCCATATCTAACATCTTTGACTCAATTTATATTTTTTTCTACTTTTTATCGTATCTTCCTAAGAATGCGAAAAGCAGAAAAATATTATCATAATTTCGCAACAAAAACATATTGGATATATAATGACACGGCTTTACTGATGTATTTTTTGGATTTCATTTCTTATTTGTTTTGGAAGGTAAATTTTAATCAGATGTAAAAATCTTTATATCGTTTTTACAGTAAAATTGTTGAAAAGCTGCGTATTGCTGTCATCTCTGTCATCAACGTCATTTTTTAAGGTCTTTCTACCTTTCACCCCCACAAACATATAACGAAATATATTCATATTAGTTTTTCTTTTTTCCTTACAGATTTTTTGTATAGTTTTTCATTCTGATTGGTATCAATATTTAAATTTGTCATACTGCGACAGAAGTTTAGAAATATTACAAAGTAATAATATTAAAATATAGCGTAAATAGGATTCTTGAAAAAATATTCCTCTCGAAATTGAGTAGTGTATTCTCCGTGTATTTTAGATCGGTCAGTTTCCGATCGTCAGTAATTAGAAAATGAGTAAGCCTTTGGACATTCAGAAATTTCGTTAGATATAAAGAAAATAGTACTGGAATGTTATGCGATATCTGTTGGCCTATATGGCAGTGGACGCGAGACAAAATCCCCAAAGATGAAGAAGAGACTTGAAGCAACAGAAATAGGGTTCTACAGAAAGAATATCAATTTTTTTTGTATTATTATCATTATTGTTATTGCTGTTGTTATTATTATTGTTGTTGTTGTTTCATTTCGTTTGGTTTCTTGTGGAAGCTTATTTCTTTCCGGGTCCGGACCAGAGACCTTAGGTCAGAAATGGCATCAATAATTTTTCCACTGAGCAATTTAAAAACACACACACACACATATTTTACATAGATAAAGCCCTTCGTAAGGTGTGGTCTGTAGTCGCGAGAACGATTTTTTTGTGTTTCTTTAAGGCAAGGCTTACCAGGAATCCCTTCACTGAATCTATTGGAAACCTTTCCAATCAATCCGAGGGCTCCAACTACAACTGGAATTGTTAATGTCTTCATGCGTCACATTTTTGAGATTTCCATTTCAAGGTCCTTGTATTTTGATAGTTTTTTTCTTAAAGATTTTCAACAATACATTACAGTCTGCACTACGTAGCCACTGATGGGTACGGCTTTTTTCTACGTCAGCTTGTTTGGTACAGGCAGAGTATTGGCCATGAAGCGGTTTATCTTGCCATTGTTTCTGTATCTTATTATTATTATTATTATTTTAATTTTCTTTGATTTCTGGCGTTTACACATTTCATTCCGGGTCCCGCCCAGGGACCTAAGGTTAGAAATGGCGTCATGGCACTTTCCACTGACAAAAAAAAAAAAAATGACATAGATAAAGCCCTTCGTAAGGTGTGGGCTGTACTTATCAGAACAATTTTTTGTATCTTTATTATTATTATTATTATTATTATTTCCTTTGATTTCTGTTGTATACACATTTCCAACCGGGACCCCTGTAGATGTTCAATAATAGTTTCAGACTATTATTTTTTAGTGGCAGCATATTTTGGCTCAGACCT